CGCGCGAACGCAGCCCCACACGCAAAAATTTAGCTGTTGGCTAACCTCAACCCGAGGTTGCCACACGGGTCAGCCGTTGCTAAAGTGCAATGCAGCGGCCTCACCATGGAGGTCCCGCCTTCATGATCGCGAGAGCCTCCCAGCCAGGTAAGTTTATGCGTGGTCGGCAGCGCAAGTGCTCGGCCACCGCACAACGTATTCAGAGCGGGTTTGCCATTTACGAGTAATGTGTGCTAAAGCTGCTGTAATGTTCCTGTTGATACTTGATACTTGAACGGCCCGTCCTCACTAGTTGTGCGGGCCCCAGCATAATCACTATTTTTCGGAGATTCGCTGGTTAAGTCATTGTGGCTCCTTGGAATACCGAGGACAGTTTGGGCAAAGTCTGCCCCAATTTTCCTATTATTAGTGGCAAAGTCGAAAAAAACGCTTGGAAACAAGCGCAGTTACCGATTTTGTGACCTATTGACGAGAAATATTGCGGGAAAGTGGAAAAACTCGGATGGGTTACTTTGATTGGTCGTTAAATCGGACAGCTAAATCTCATTTCCTCTCACGGAGTTCTGAAAGTTTTTAGAATGCACTGAAATAATCTTGTCAGCTATTCACCAGGAATTTTATTGAAACATAGAAAACTCGGAAGGTTTTTGGTTGGTCGTTAGTTCGGACCGACGAATTTCTTCCTAGTAACTTCCTTAAGTTCATAGATTTCAGCACAATAGTCGTTTCCGTAATCCATTGACAATAAATTTTTTCGAATAACTGAAAAAGCCTGGAATATTTAGGTTGGTCATTTAAATTGAATTACTAGCATATCTGGTTTCGTAGTTTCTTATCGAAACTCATAATTTGTATCCACTGACGATCTACACATCCATCGCTATTTAACGTTAGACCTATCACTGGGTGTGTTGGCTGGCTGTCGGGAAGTATAACATGGTTTTTAACACTATTACTTAACCAGTTGTTAAAGCACATCACACCCCAACCCTCTGAATGTCCTAGTGCTCTTGGATCGTCTACGTAACGAACGTCCTAACAGCGCGTAGATGATGGAGTCCTTCGACTTTATTGCCCCTTATACTACCATGTCGAATGTCTCCTCAATGCAAAACATCCATGAGCTCTCCCTGTGCAGCAGGATGGAGCAGTAAACATGGCTGCGTATCTTTTCGATTCAACAGCTTATGGCCCTCGTAAAGGAATGCCTGAACTGATCCACCTGCAGATGATGTAGAAAATATTACGCACAAATGAGAGCGTTTGCAATGGAACAGCGATTGACACCATTGGTTGGCAACTAACTTTATGCCTAAGGTGGAAGCTGTAGTAATCGATCCCCGGCCATTGCTCTGTTGTAGATATGCAGATGATTGCGCAAGAGGAAATGGACAAATGTTTTGAGTTTTTCAATGAACAGTTGGAGTACATCAAGTAGTTTAGTCGAGAGAAACAGAAGGAAAACTGGCTTCCATTTCTGCCTGTTCAAATTAAGTTGTCTAAAAATACATCATGAAGTGGCACCGGAAGCCATGTAGTAAAAATGCAGTAGCTTTCCTCTGGTTCCTTATTCCTTATACAAAAAGGGCGCTTGTAAGAAACATGTTTCGAACAGTCACTAACGTGTGCACAGGAAGAGAGCAGAACAAGGAACCTTGGAAACTGGCACAATGGCAACGAAGCTGTAGCTAGCCATTTCCAATGGCTATGAAGCTGTAGCTCCTCGAGCCATAAAAAAAGTATAAAAGGATGAAGCTCTCAGTTAAAAGTGTGGATATGAACGTTTGCTGAATAACAACCTTGTGATTGCTGTAAAAAATAGAACTACAAAGCTCTCGGAGTTGATCAATCCTTGAGGGATGCGCCATGCATTCGACTTCATTAGTTATCATTTGAGGTGGTTGAATGCATATCTGGCCTTTACAATGACTCGCGGTGGCCTACCGATGTGTCGAGCCAGTGCTGATACCCTTCCAGACAAACCTGGTACCAATTTGCCGACCCAGGAGGGACGGAAGGCTTGGCGGGCCATGGGAGCAAGGATCGATTCTACGTGGGTGTCGCAGTCGCTCCTCCAACCACCACTGAGCCACACGCGCCCTCGGGATATATTTCGTTGAAAACCCTGTCCCTCAAACTGTAATTCTAGAGATAATAAGATCCCGTTTGTCCTGGACTAAATAAAGCCTTTATAACAATCTCGTGTTAGCTTAGCAATCTGAAGAGATGGTGTTTAAATAATAGCTCAGATGTAATTATGACTGATGCTGTCCTTTCGATGTTCGCAATTCGACGGAAATTACGAAGTCCCATGAGTTCGTCATTATACGACGGCGAAATAAATCTCTGAGGATGCTGGTATCCACTAGATCCCGTAGCTGTTTAGGTTCAATAACTAAGAAGGTAAATGACTGTATCGGATACCGAAACTTCTTGACTGTTTATTCAACCGCGTGTTTATTGTTATTCTAAGATATTTAGACAGGAGCGCATCAGGCCTTTCCGACAAATTCGTCGCGTTCGTGGTCGATGGTTAAAAAAAGCAGGTTGTTTTCTAGATCTTGGGCGTCTTTCCCTAGCGATAGGAAGACAGCGCGTCCTCGAAGATCCCAGCAACAAGTGTTTTGCCAATACTTTATGCTGTTTACAACATATTCATTTACCCATTTTTACCATCTCATTTTAGAACGGTTGCCTCAGTCGTTTTATCCCAGTGAATGACCCGTACACATGCATTTACTTCTCTTTTATCTTCCACCCCACTCCTCTTTATCGATTTCTCTGTCATCTATTTCAGTTTCATGTTAGAAATCAGATAGAAAGCTCATGAAGATCCCAGAAATCTACGGAAGATTTTTTAGAACGACACTTCATAGCTCTTTGATGAGGCTAAGGATAATAACGGTATAATCCCTTCGCACCTTCCAACCGTTTACCTCCTCAACGTGGCTGGGAGGCGTTCCAGGGTGTCGAGCTGCGATGTAGAGCGGAGGGATTCATTATCCTGGCAGGATCTCCCTAGCTGAGAAGAAGTCTCGCATTTCCATCAAGAAACCCTAGCTAAAAGTGAACCAATACAAGGATCCATCATCGTCCTGGTACAAAACTAGTCACATGGCAGCAATTTTCCCTTCGACTCGCAAAGGCGGCGTCTGCCTGTGGTGATGACGACCTGGAGCAGACTTTAACCCGGCTGACCTCGGCAATCCAAGGAAACACAGTGGCTTAACGAGCAAAACTCCGAAAAATGGAGATTATGCCGGAGCCCGCATAACTAGTCATGCTGGGCCGTCCAGCTGTTCAAGTACTACACCCTTCAGACGACGAATGGATGAGCACAAGGACTAGTACTGCTGTCGTTTCAGTACTGAAGATTTTGTTCTAGGAAGAGTGTATTCAACTCTTCCTGTGGGCAACAATTCTTTAGTTCAAAATCGAGTGTGAAAAAGTATCTGGCACTGGGGTATCGGCTGCTCTAAAAAGTTAGATAATGAGCTTTTGCTTTAGCATGTTTCACACCATCTGATTACTGTGCAGTAGAATTTAGTGTAGGGCATGGAGTTGTTTTCCTTTGAGGTCCTTCACTTGTGCACCACATAATTTGGTCAGCTGTAGTCGTCGAAATGAATCCAAAGTCACCATTTAACTTCGCACCGTAAGCAGCCACTGTTAGCAACACCTACTACCTGTCTGCCTCTTACTGCAATTTTAATCTGTTGGTTTTAATTCGGAATACTCAAACAACTATTCTTTACAGAATATATTCCTAAACAAACTTCGACCCGCTTTTAACGAAGCGCGTGCTACCATATTTCCTCTATTTCCTGTGTTGGATTTCTACAACACTTTATGACCAGAAGTTGCCCGTAATATCTCCAAATTTTGCATCAATTTATTTATCAAACCACTTTTGACTATTTTGATTCGGACCATTTGCGAAAATCCCAGTAATTTCAGCCGAGTTGGGCCGCCACTGAGATAACGTGCTCTAATCAAAAATGGCGGTTGTGAGTACAATTACTTCTTTTAGCTCAGCTCAGGTTTTCTGTCATCATTTCTTTTTATGTTCTTCTTTTTATTATTTGCCTTTTTTCATAGCATATTCATTATTAGCATGACAGGAACGTTTGTATCTCTTGGAGATGTCAGCCCCTTGGGATGATTCCTAAATGGGTCATGACGAATCGCGGTTGTATTTCCTTTATGCTTTACGAAAACTCTGCTAGTGGCTTCAGAGTACCCCAGAACGCCCACAAACTTCTATTCAGTGCTCCGTGGAACCACAGTTGCTATCACTAATTCTACATAGCCAAAACAGTACTTTACTGTTTGTGTTCTTTCCGTATCTTTCTAATTCTCGTGGAATTTGTGATATTGGATGGCCCATCTTCACTGGTTGTGCGAACCACAGCATTATTTCCACTTTTTCGGAGTTTTGCTGATTTAGCCATTGTGGTTCCTTGGAGTGCCCAGGTCATCTTAGGCAAACCCTAGGTCGTCACCACCACATGCAGTCGCCGCCTTTCTGGATCAGAGGGAGATTTGTCACTATGCGACTAGTTTGATACCAGGACTGTAGTAGATCGTGGTATTGGTTTACTCTTAGCTCGGCTTCCTGATGGAAATGCCGGATGTTTTCTCAGTATGGGAGGCCCTGCTGGGAGAATGAATCATCCCGCTGTACGTCGCGACCCGACATCGTTTATACCGAGTTTAAATGGAGTTTATGACTACAATTACTTCCTTAACTCGAGTTTTCTGTCATCGTTTCCTTCTTGGTCGTTCTATCTATTGTTTGCTTTTCTTGGCTCATTTATTAAATTACCTTAGCATCTGCTCCGTTAATGGCAGTAGCAGCATCTTAATTTGGCTGTTTCACAAGATCTTTGTCATAGGGTTACTCTTGCAAAAAAAAGGTTATCGATGGAAGAAGGTATTGAAGATTGTGACCACTTCCATTCCATCACATTTAGGCAAAGTTTTCATCCGACCGCTAGAAAATGTCTTCTCGTGGCCAGCGTGTTGCAGGAACTGATGGCACGGATTTTCAGCACCGACAACGTGTCGCTGCTCATTTCCACGAGAGGTTTTCATTGATTTTTGTGCTATTTATGATGACTATTTACTAACGATTTTTTCTAATTCACAATATAGTCACTGTTTACACAGTGATTTCAACTACAGCTTCATCTTCATTAGGTTCAATGCCGATTTTCCTCCCCAGATCAATCCTGTTGACGGGTGATTGCTAATAGCACTCACATTAACATGGCTGAGAAAAAGGCGAAACGAAGGACTCGCATAGTGCGGTGGTGAACACATTAGCCCCAGAAAAGGTAATAGCGGGTTCGGTCCCCACCGGAGACACCCGCGGTCCGGAGTTTTGGAAACATCTCAGCATCGTTGTGGTTATTTTCGTAGTTGCTTTTCTGCAGCTACTATTCCCATATACGAGAGGGAGCCCCCTCCTATTGTTGTGGAACTTTTCCACCGATGATGCACCAATTCTCAAAACTGTTCGTGGAATAACATGAAAGAAGGAAATGATCAGTGGAACTCAATTTTATTCACTGGTCTGGTATATTCCCTCCAGCTTGTTGCAGCCTACATTAACACGTAGTCTATATTGTTCACCTATAGGTTAAAACACGATTGAGCGAAAGGCGGAATGAGAGACCGGCATAGTGTGGTGATAAACGCATTAGTCTCCGGAAGAGATAATAACGGGCCAGATCCCTACCGCAGACATCTGCGGTGCGGGGTTTTGCAGATATCTCAGCATTCTCAGCTTCATTGTGATTATACTTCACGTCATACCCTGCCATAAGGCAGTAAATAGAAAGTAATTACATAGTCCATACTCTGTTTGTGCCAGTAATGTTCATGCGACATCGATAGTCCATGGGATTCTAAACGTTTTAACATCTTTGTCGCAAATACTTAAAGGGTACGGGTTTCTGTTATCTCTAGTACGATAAGATACGTCAAAATCTCTGCTCTATAGTGTTCTACGTCCTTTCCGCCCTCTCCAATTCCCTGATTTTGTATAAATGGTCGACTGAATTGAATTTTAACACACAGGACCAAGTATGTCAATCCTGCCTTACCACCTTTTTTGTATTGGATGACAAAATTAGCAAAGAACTTACTATTTGTATGGTTGCACAAATATTTTTTGCAGTGTGCACTACAAGTTCATTCTGAAGTGGTTCTTTGCTCCTCATATACTCATCTTAGTTTTCATGTGGGCTAAGGTAAGCCGTTAATGTTAAAGTATATCTGTATGTTGAAAAGCAGAATATGACGGTTATGTGTTCTCTGTAATTTAGCTTAAGCTTTAGATTAAGTCGTGAATAGTGGAGAAGAGTGGAAGTCGTCTGTTTTTTAATGCTTTGTTTTGGGTACTCGTGTGTAGCGCAGTGGTCGGAGGCGCTCTGCAATACACATGGGATGATCTCCACGTACCAGGCCCTCCAAGCCTTCCATCTCTCCGGGGTGGGCAAATTGGTACCGGATTTATCAGGGAGGAGAGCAGCACTGGCCCACTCCATTGGAGGATTGCCGCGAGCCATTGTATAGGCCAGATATGCAGTCACCTCCAACCATGCTTAATGAAGTCGAATGCATGGCGCATCTCTCAGGGGTTGATCAACGGCCAGAGCGTTATCCTTTACCCTTTATCCTTCATATGGCATTTCTGTGAACGTATATTTGAAAATACAAGTAGGCGAAGGGGACAAAGTATAGAAATCTAATTTCATGAGAACTACATTCGTTTTACTTCCAAAAACTTTTTGAGTCGTTGAAGACGAATTTGGTGTAAAACATGCGGGAAGAGCTGGTGTGGGCACATTTTCGCTGACTTGAAACTGAGTATTCAACATGATCAGGTCGGCAGTGAGATTCTTCGACGTGAATTCGGTTGGAGAAGTGCTTTTTTTGAGCGACTCGATATGCCGTCTGCTTACCCGTGGGAATACGTCTGGTGTTTCTCATTCATACCCATCATTTGTGCTATGATGTCATTTCCAAAGAATAAGGTAAGTTTTCTCCTTATGTAATTTTTCATTAAAAACGGTTAGAATTTAAAACAGAGCTTCATAGGTGAAATTATTGAATTATCATTACTATGGGCACTTTATATTTGGTATTTTACCATGCATGATTGGACTGGGAGGTCAACTTCCGGAGCTTCTTGATTACATGAACGATCAAGAGAACAGTCAGACGCCTACGTTTAAGGTATTGTGCAGTTTAGATGACAATCAGGGTCTTCATAAACATGGTGATCTATAGATAGTTATTTTAGGGTGCGTTCCCCATGGTTATTATTTGGTACATTTTCTTTGCTATTGCTCTCCAGATTCACGGTTTTGCTATGTATTTCTCGTATCATCTTTCTGCAGCTTGGAAACCTTTGAAAGTTGATTAATGTTTTAGAAGAGTGTTGTTTTTACGTACGTATTAAATTAAGTAGCTTTGATCACCTTGAAATTATGTTCTGCTAGAGATGAAGTTAGTATTATCGGATGTTTTTTTTATCAGGTATAAATTATTCACCTTTGTTTGAAAAATGCATGTCTTTCATTGAGTTTTGAAATTTAAGGTCATATGTAAATGTGAGAGCGCGTGTAGTGCAGTGATCGGAGACGCCCTGCAATACACATGGGATCGATCCTCGCGCCCAACATTCACCAAGCATTCCATCCCTCCGAGGTCGGCAAATTGGTACCAGACTTGTTTGGAAGGATAGTAGTACTGGCTCGATACATTGGTAGGCTACCGCGAGTCATTGTAAAGGCTAGGTATGCATTGAGTCACGTCTACGGATGCTTAGTGGAGTGGAATGCATGGCACATCCCTCAGGACTTAAGGTAGTTATTAATTCTGATTATACGTGTTCATGGAATTTCGTTCTCGTTATTAGTCTTACCAGTTGGTCACTTCATTGCACCTGTTTATTTCGATGTGATTTCGGTACTTGGCTAAGTCCGTCTTCCAATAAAGAATTATTATTATGATCTGTTATTCCGTTCTAAATGCAGTTGCGCATTCGTCATATCTTTGAATTAGAGAAAAGGGAATTGTTGTCGACCAGCCTCTTTTTCAATGCCACCAGTTAGGAATGTGGGGTTGCGGTTTCAATGAGCACGACGAAGACTGTCACGATATTGCCATTATGAAGCAGCAGTTTCTTCATGAACCGATCCCGAATTCCTTTGCCTTTCCACTGCCACCTTTAGGTCTACAGGTACATACAGTCTTTTTATGTAGAGGTCTATTTGTTTATATTTTACACCTTTAGGCGAAGGAATTTGTTGCAACTCATTTCGGTACGGACGCAAAAAACCTACAGTTTCGTAAGGGTACTACTACGTTAGCTTTCATATACGAGCCTGCAACGCCCAATGACAAGGGTGGTATCGTTGTTGCTGTAGATTCACGAGCGTCCTCTGGAGAATATATATGTAAGCCTGTCAAACTTTCTTATAGCTGCATTTTTTATTTATCACTGGATTCCAGCTTCGAAGTCGGTTATGAAAATATTGGACATTGGAGATCGTATGGTTGCTACCATGGCTGGCGGAGCAGCAGATTGCCAATTCTGGACGAGAACTGTCGCAAAATACTGCAAGTAAGCATCAGTGTGGTCTTCGATGCTTATTTTCAATCAATGTTGCTTCAGTTTGTTCGAACTTCGCGAAAAGACTCAGATCACAGTTAGCGCTGCTAGCAAATACTTCGCTAACGTTCTGTACGGTTATCGTGGAATGGGTCTTTCAGTGGTGCGTTTTTGCTCACACACATTGAGTTGTACCTAATGTAAAGTTTGCAGTAATTTTAGAAAAAAAACACCTTTTTATTCGCTAATTTCTTGGAAAGTTTAGGGTTCAATGATTGCCGGATATGATAAGAGAGGACCACAGATTTTCAAGGTTCGTTGTTTTGGTTCTTATTAGTAGTTGTGCAGATTTGATATGGCTACTCGTAGAATAGGATAAGCCAGGAGGCTTCTTTCACAATTTTATGCTTTCGCTTCGGTACTGTGATAAACAGCTGGAATAAGTTGGAATACTACGAGGGTTGAACTTTACAAAGATCACAGCTAATTATTTAAGGTTGATAGCGAAGGCGATCGATGTCAGCTGCAAGTATGTAGTGTGGGGTCGGGATCGCTAAATGCTTATGGTGTTCTTGATACTCATTATAAACGAAAAATGACCGATGAGGAGGCCTTGAAACTTGGACGTCGTGCTATAATGCATGCAACGTTTAGAGATTCAGGATCCGGCGGAGTTTGTAATAGTAAGTTGAAGTTTGAGCACTTGAGTTATTCTGTCTGTGTCATACCATTTTGCGAAGTTTTGGTCATCGATTGGAAATGACACTTAGCACATTTATTAAGTGTTACATCACTACATCGCTCAATCACATGACCGTTGTCGATCATAAGGCGACCCTCTAAAGAGTGGGGATAAAATGCTCCTCTCGCGCAGGAGATACGATGTGCACATAGTTTTTGTGTAAAGAACTGTATTTTTGCTCGTTTTAGTAGGAATATCTGTGGATAGCTAGCTATGCCTGTACCTGAGATGGTGGCCTGATATGCTCACAGATAACTTGTCGTGCTACCCCAAAATCGACAGGTTGATGTAGAAGATTTAAGCCAATTCTCTACGGTCAGTAGGGACAGGATGCGCACCTCATGAATGCATCTGATTTTTAAGGCATCTACTACACTTATAATCTGTATTTAACTCCACTACACATGAACTGGAAACGTACTCGGCTTACGACTAACACAATTAAGGCACTACATTAGGGAGTTCCGTTGATTGAGCTAGTTTAATAACTTGGATAACAGAACGTGGGTGTGGGAATAAACTCTCCTTCATATCATCATTTTCGCAATTAAGATCGTTCCTTAGTACTGTTGTTAGCTTAAATAGATTGTATTGTTTAATGTTTTTATCCAGTTTATTTTTTTAGTGGTTCACATTACTCCGAACGAGAAGATCCGTTTGCCTTCAGTTGACGTTAGCAAGCTGTGGTACGAATTTGCTGCTGAACTAGGTCGTGACATTGTGTACGAACCTTGTGATGACTGACAAGTGGACCTTTCCACTCATATTGATTTTGTTGTCATTGTCATTTATAAGAAAACTCATTGTCATTTATAAGAATTTATTTTTATTGTTGTTGTAGTAGTAAGGTTATGAACTATTACTTTTGACTTTACCATTCATCAGATAAATTATTTCGGTATTTCTTTTCTACCGGGTGATATTTCCCATGAGTGTCGCGATTTTGAACGAATACTTTTCATTTATATTTTAATTCTATACGGCGTCAAATAAGAGCTTAAGATTATTTGAACAGTCTTCGTACACAACCAGTTTGCCTATGGATGAGTTCCTGTCGCTATGTGCTGCTGATGAACAAGATGCGACTGATGGAGAATCGTTTGTTACTGCTTCATCGGAGATCACGGTAGATAGGTGGGTTTTTATGTTATCCATTGTACCAAATTAGGCCGATATTACATCAGTAAGCAGTTATCCGATTATCTCAGGACAGTTAACTCGACGGATATGGACTCATTCTTGTCGGCAAAGTCTGTTCTGCCCAGTGAAACAGATGACGACTATTCGGCTAACATCTCAAATGAACCTTCACATCATGACCAAACCATTACTAATGATATAATCCAGTGTACATGCACATTTTCTCTCATAGTCGCGTACTATTCTTATATTTTAGTTGCTGTTTTAGCACAGATTGATGAACTTGACCGTAAGAGGAGAGAGGTGATTAATCTAGCACGTGCTACTGTATTCGGCTCAGGGTCGACGGAGAATAGGAAGGATTCGAGGTTAAAAAGTGGTAAATTTCCAATTTCATGCGGTTCTGTAGAGTTTGTATAAGACAAGATCATCTTTCTAAAAGCCGTAGAAGTGTCTCCTAAGCCCTACATAAATTGTTGTTGGGCATTAATGGGCTTAATTTTCCGAAAAAGACACCGCTCAGGTCCAAAGTTGGTCGACCTTGACTTCAGCCAACCCTACATTAATTCGGAGCCTGCCACTTCTAAACAATTCTCTGCGAATTCAGATAGTAGCGATGACGAGATGATGGGCAGAAAAAAGTGCGTTTAATTTCGTTCATTCATTTTAGTTCCATCTTATTTCGTCTCTAAATTCTAGACCTCTAACTGAAAGCGGTAAACTATTGAAGAAACAGCTTGCGAAGGTGGAGGAAATACGCGAGTTCTCGAGGGACGTCCCTGTACCATCCATGGTATTTATCCGTTATTTTGAATTCGCCTTCTTCATTCCGATGTATTTCCCCCTCGAATTTGATATGTTATATTTCGGATGGTTAAACAGAAACCTAAAGAAACTGTGCTAACGGGTGTGGCCAAAAAAGAATATGTGCCAGCAGCTATATTTGACAACTTCTTTCGTTTAAGAATCAGGTACATTTTCTTGTGTGATGCTCCATTTATATGTAGTGTTGCGATAGTTGTAGTATGCAGGAATCCTAAAATTTCTTCAACAACATTTGACTGTTATGTTGATGGACATAGACGGGTTAGAATGTCTGAACTGAGACTGAACACTTCTGCTACAGGTTACAATGTTAACAAATTCATCTCAGTCATTCTTTTTTATTTTTATATTTATTTGTTCGGCGTTCTTTTTTTTTTTTGAGAAACTGTTTGGAAGTTACATAAAGATATTCTGCGTCATATTATGATGAGCGGTAAAGATACTTGATGTATTCGTTTTCTCTGTAACACTAGATTTACAGCAGATAGTTGGACGACAGCAGGTGTAGTTGTGAATCGCGATGTTCGAAAGAGTGTTAATGGTAAAGACTATCTTATTTGGAAACTGCATGATCTTAAAGTAAGTTTCGAAGAGAGTTTCGCATAAGAATTTCAAGCGAGAATACCAGAAATTTGCTGTTTTGCTGGTAAAAACACACGAGGCTGTTATACGGCTCATTATTAGCAACAAACGTTTCAACTCATCTCACTTTCTTCAGAACCTTGAGAGGTCATGTTAACTGGAATCTAATCCGCCAGATACCTTCACATCCTCGAAAGAAAAACCACGGTATATGAATTTCAACTGCATTGGGAACAAAACGACTTCTTCACATGGTCACCATCTCTATAAGATCACTGCTGAGCATTCCACATGTGGTCACATTGTACAGAGTTCGCATGTGTGGATAATGCACCAGTCTCACGTTAAAATATCACTTTAACATTTTGTGCCAGATCACTCGTTACAGCAAGGCATTCCTTCCTTTCCTGCGGTTCATTTTTGGATTCTTAGAGTTCACCAGAAATGCCGAGGAGTTTTGCTCCCCGATTTTTTAGATTCCTCTACGAGGATGATGAATTCTATCTCAAAACGAAGGTGACAGGAAGTTATGGAGGTGACAACGATGACTTTTTTATTCACTGGCTACTACAATTTTTCACGGCATAGTATGGTATGAAATACAACCACAATGATGCTGAGATAATAGAAAAGTCCGGACCGCAGTTCTCTGCGGTGGGGATCGAACATGCTTTCCAGGAGCTAACGCCTTCACCACCACACGATGCGGGTCCTTCGTTTCGCCTTTATCTCAGTTAATTTTCTTTTTAACAGTGCCATCAGCTGATCTGGGGAACATAAATCGGCATTGAACCTAGTCAAGCTGAGGCTGTAGTCGAAACGGCGATGTTAATAGAAAAGGTGGTAAACTAGGTGAGACAAAGGCGATGCGAAGGACCCGTATCATGTGGTGGTGAACGCGTTAGCCCACGGTAAGGGTAATAGCGGGCTCGTTCCTCACCGCAGACACCTGCGCTCCAGTTTTGCAAATATCTCACCATCGTTGTTTTTGTTATGGAGATATTCTGCTGACTAGGTTCCAGTTGGAGCGGAGGCGGAGATAATGCAGTGGTTATTGATGCTGTCGATGATCAGGAAGTAAGAGATGCAGGTTCGGTACCTCCACAACACCCTCTCCGAATCCACGTGGTAAAGCCCAACTATCTCCAGGATAGCAAGAAGAATTGGCTCAACCGGCATTTTACAACATTAGTGAAGAAATTGAAATCCTCAAGCCACAGTTGAAACAACACGCAGAATATCCGAACACCATTGTGGACGATGAGTGCAAATAAAACAAATCGAATGCAACAAGTGTTGGGATATGCACAGTAAATTTGGTGATTGGTAGTGTAAAAAAATAGGTTGCAGTTCGCGCTCAACGGTACGAATATTTTCGAATTTTTCGACTACGTCTGTCTAGTTTGCGAAATCAACATAATGAAGAATCTAGCTCCAGAATTGAGCAGGGGGAAGCGAGCGGCTTGGGGGGCTTTCAAGAGCGTCGAAGGTAAAGTGAAGAGAACAAAGAACGTCTACCTGACTCCATTCCCACCTTTTCGACTCAACGGTGCTTCCTACTTTAACGTATGCGTCAGAAATATATTGTATATGAACCACAACCGATGGACAAGAGACGTTTGTGACTAGAATCCGGGGGATGTCAAACACTACAGGAAGGCCACTGACTCGATGGTCATAGTTCTTCATGAGCACTCTAGGAGAAATATGGTGCTCAGCGAGTCCTTGAGCGAGCAGGACTCACTGGGCCACTTTACCACGCGAACGGAAGAATGGATGGCTTATTGGTATCCATTCGAGTCATTCGACGATCAACGCATGATACTTAACACTTTGCAGCTTTTCGACTTTTCCAGGTTCTGTAGAGACAACTTCGTGTGTGCTTTTTAACAAAACAGCAAGTTATTCATCAGTGCCGATGTTAACAGGAAATCGGTCTTGGGAGTTAGTGCATCGAAGTTACCATATGCTGCACTTACTCTTGCTCTATTAGACTTTTTTAGGATTGTCAAGATCCACCCGTTACGTTGTTACTATTTGGTGAAGCGTGTAAAGAATTCTGGAAACTACAAGTGGGCATTTGTGTGGCACTTATGACACCGCAGATAGCAGATAACGATCAAAATAGTTGTGTTCGTGGAGAAGCGAAATTCAAGCCACGAAGTATATCAAATATAACAATTCGTACTTGTGTCCTCACTGAAGGTGCTGTTTCAGACACACTCATCACTTTGAAGGTTTTCAAGTCTATCCAAGTCGTTGAGCTCGGTTTTTCAAGTGATTTAGGTACCTGCAAGGTCAGCTTTTTCAATCTAATCATGTGTTGGAGTTCTCGCTTACGATCTCTTAAGGTGGATTTTTTAGGGAGTCAAGTTGGATGGACAGAAGTGCAGTAATTTTGTCAATATTTCACTGTCGGAGTTCTGTGTGCATCATGTGATGAAGGAGGCCCGAAAATTGTCGGCTAAGAGAGGTTAGATCGTCTTTCTGATGATTTTTTTTCCACTGGGCAAATTCTCATATCGAATGCCTGTCTCAGACTACAGCCATAGGTAACTGTGCAATCTTGCGGTTAAAGGAGAGACCTTAAATTTCGTGATAAGTTTCGTACTAGGAGGAATTGATTGCAGGCGCATAAATAGGTAGAATATCAGGTAGGAAAGTCGAAACCCTCAATTTTGTAAATCTATAATTCTCCCTTAGGTCTTAATCAATGCCGAGGGCTTTATCCTTCTTCATTGTGGCTAACCTTTCGGCCCATTCGCCTTTCTCAGATCCTCAGTATTTTAGTCGAGTTTTCACAATCGTTCATCCTCAGTGATTTTACTCGAGTTTCTACAATCGTTCAATCTCGTAAAATGCTTTTTCGTAACGGCATCGTGTGGAATCTAGTGGAGCGGAACTACCCTGGAATAGGTTACACTAGCTCAGCGGAGCGCTTTTAAAGGACGTAACAGTTGATAGAGTACCGACCGCTGCAGGATAGATTAACTGGAAAAAATTATTGGCTGATTAGTAAACAACTCTCCTGTATAAAAAGGCTTTGCTGAGTGAGGGCGCTTCATCCTAGGGATGCTCCAATCTATTGGATTCGACTCGCTGCGACTACGAAGAACCATATCGCAAAATTGAGCGATTGTAGACACTCGACTAGCAGTATTGGCGTTCCCAGAAAGGTTAAGGGTTAGCCATAATGAAGATTTTTTATCAACCCCGTTTAAGATCCGAGTGGGAAAAACTGTCGATTTCAACCACAACGTTGCTGAGATATTTGCAAAACTCTGGACCGCAGGTGTCTATGGTGGGGAGCGAACGCGCTATTATCCTTTCCGGGATAATTATTTTATTATCCATATTTCGCTTAGTAACCTGCCATGAAAATTATAGAAGGCAGAAAACAAAACGTTAAACATTGTGATTTCAACTACAGCCATAGCTTAACTGGGTTCTATGCCGATTTGCGCTCCCCATATCAACCCCGCTGACGGGTGATTGCTGTGGCAAAAAGATCGATAGAAATAGCTGAGAAACAGGT